AAAATAATACAGCTGCAAGTTACATACAACATAATCTCCCCCTCCCACTTTCCATTCATTTCTATTTTGGCTCCAGTCGAGGAGTCTCATGGCCCAGCACTGCCAGACCTTGACACAGGGACCATCTTTTTTACTTATTCTGCAATATATAATACGAAGGTGCTTCATAGTTAAGTAGGTCTCAGATAAACAACATGCTCCAGTGAAGTACTGAGCACTCTTTTCTTGCATACCCTGGGGTTGACCTGAAACGCTACTGTTTCCACAGAACCATTCCCAAATGCCTTGAACTCCTACCCAATATTGCTGATAACTCCTTTGATCTTGCTGTGTTTCTACTTCTCCAAGCATGACATGAAAGCAACATTCCTGTATTCTTTTACATTTGAAATCAGCTATATTTCAAAGCTCTGATGTCATCAGGACAACTTTATATCATCTCCTGTGAAATATATCTGCTCAACAGATGTGAAACAGATCTTTTGTTTTACTAGTTAGGTTAAAGCCAGCTACATAAATAATTGAATGAGATGGTGTTTCGTAACGAGGGCCAGGTATTTTTCTGTAAAGTCATCAAAAGCCAACACCTTGTCACAGACCTTCTGTTTTGGGACAATTATGAAAGGTTAGCACTCCGCAGTAATGGCTTTAGCACATGCTGCAGAGAGACAAAAGAAATAGAGGAATGAAAACTAAAGAGGTGGCTTTGTATTTGTATCTCATTCCTGCAGCTATTCTGATAACTTTTTAGGTAGATTCCCTTACCATTGTTAAGATAGACCCAGGTAGAAGGGGGAAACAAGAGAAATCCATCTACTAACCTTCTCTATGGATAAAAAGGCTTGATTCACAAGACCCATTGTGCCAATTTGTCAGCATCATATAGACCATCAGTGAGGGAACACCAGCTTTACCCTGAAGCACCTCTGTAACAGTGATATGCATGGGCTCAAGCGTGACTAAAAAATTAGGACTAAAGGACTTGAACTTTCAGGTCCCATTTTCCTTCTTTCTGCTTTTAGCATATATTTAATTGAGTTTTTTTTTTTTTCAAAAAGCAAGAAGGAAAAATAAGAGCCTATCAGGAGAACAACGATTAAGAAATGCAAGGGGAAAAAGAGATCAGCTCAGAGGAAGGAGAGCAACAGCAACTTTCCAGCTGTTAAGCTAGACTAAAAATCTTCTCAGGAGATTTGTCTAAGCTTTATCACTTCAGAAGTGTCAAAACTCTCCTTTTTAAAAAATCAGAGTGCAACTACTAATTCTCACTGTAAGTTAGGGGAAAGGGAAAATAAAATCCTATCTCCATTTTTCCTGGAATCTCTAAATTCCAAGGTCTGCCTTCGGTTGTGAGCCTTTTAGCTGCATGAAGCTGTTCCAACGCGAACGCACATTTTACTCATTGTGGAGGCAGCTGAAGACATGACAGTTTACACAGCCCCCATGTCTCCACAAAGAATCAGCCATTGCAAGAAGGAAAACACCAGCCTTCAGCTGGCAGCATCTCTTAATGATAAAGCCATCATGACAGTCACCTGAGTGCACTTTTGACCAAACCCCAAATTCTGAATTTTAATTACCACTGCTCTGGAAGTAGAAGAAAAAAAAAAGAATTTAATGTCTCAGAGAGAATGTCTCAGTTCGGATCCTCCTGCTGTCAAAGTTTGCTATGAAGATGAATTTTAAGATTATTGGGGAGTTTAATACATGAATCCTGCGATGCTAGGAAGGGAGACAGCAGAGGGTTCTCCTCAAGCATTTATCACTGTTTAATTAACTCAGGTTTTCCGCTTAAATGCCTCTGCAACTTTCACGTCTGGATATTCTGTGTGATGAAGCCTCAGTACCATCTCTTATTTCCACTCCATGATATTGGCAAAGAATCAGGGGAAAAAAGTTATGATGAGCCCCAGTGCTTCACTGCTGCAAGATTCATTTACATAAGGCTTACTACTGTTATTTATCAGATTTCTCAGGTGTTAAAGCTTCATTGAAATGAAATAGATACAGTAACAAAGGCATAATTGACAGCCTGTCATATTGACCAAGGTGCTTTTTGATTCAGCTCTATAAATATTTACTCAGGACAATCTTTCAGAACATTAACTTACAGTGCAGTTCAGGTTCAAATCCCTGTTCCATGATGATGTTAAAAGAATATTCCCAGCACACCATACATCCAAGCAGGAAGTACAGGTAAACATTAAGCTTATCCAGAGCATTGGGAAACTATCAGGAACATACTCTAAGCACAACTAATAGTGCTGTACCCCTGGGCAGCCAACTACCTTTCTCACAAGTTGAAGGATTTACTCCCTTGTGGAGCTTCTCTATTTCATGAGCACTGCTCCATAGCACAAACTGATCAGTACCCCTGAGCCTCATGGCAGAAATACAAAACAATCCAGCTTTCTGTGCATTAAGCTAAAAAGGGAATTAGAGACCTCTTCCTCCTCTCCCCCACACCCCCAGGATTCCAAAACTGGTGTGTCTTCGGTTTCCAGCTCAATTTAGCTAGTTTTATGTAGTTGTGCAGAGAAAAAGTTCCTTAGGCCACTAATGAAACAAACTCACCATGGGAGCTAAAAACAAGTTGAGCTTTGCCATGTTCGTTGCTGCCTGTCTAAAAGATTCCTTCCTTCAGTTACTGCATCTCTTTTAAGCCTTAAACTTGCTCCCAGCTGCACCGAGCCAACCATCACCTCCTGCCAGTCTCAAGCCTGCGTAGGGTGAACGCAGAGGGGTACCCAAGGTGTGGGGTTACAGCTAATCACATGCAGCCTGCAGAGCTTCAGCATTAGATGGAAAGCACTCCCACACTTATTCATGGAAGTAAAATGACATAAAGGCTCCTTTGCATCAGTACGGTGTGCAGAAAGAGCTGAACACAGAGCAACATATCCCAGAAGAGAGAAGAGACGGTGTGACCTCACATTCTCTTTTTATGCATCACCTAGCGCTATCTGGCTAATAAGATTCCTCTCTGCAATGAGGGATGATTAAACTACCTCAGGCTGGAGGTCCCACATTTCTGCACCCATCTTCAGCCCCTTCCACAGCTTCTCACATGGTAGGGTATAATTTAGCCACACAACATTTGATACAGAACTTTTACTACAGTCTGACAAGTACATTAAATGAGGCAAAGCCGCACTATGCAATAATGTGTGGGAAGTAGGGCTTCCAAAACCAGTGTTCAAAGGGAAAAAAGAATTCAAGAAAGCAAATGGCAATCATGAAGCTGCTAAACGTTTTCTGAACAATTCAGAAAAAAATATAACCGCTTGAATTCCCATGCTTAATAAGAAACTCATTTGACAAGGTCCTTTTACATCATTTATATTCTTCCTTCATAATAATGAATGCTATTGTCATTTCCAACAACATTTTAAAACCTTTACTGAAAACATAAATTATGATACACCAATATCAAGCGAAGGAACTGTTTCAGAAAGTTAAATATGAAGCAAATAATCTTTGTTATCACCAGAAGCATGATCAAATTTGTCTGAGAGCTATGAAAGCAACTTCTATACTAGGGGTAAGTACATGTGAAATGTCAGAAACATGGATTTTAAGTTTATCTAAATTAATACAGCTTAAGAGTTGGAATATAATCAAGATTTGGTTTAAAATAAAGGAGGGATACTTAAAATATAGAAAAGGCAACTCTTCGTCATATTATACAAATCTGGAATTACTGTATAACACTAACACGCTGCTGTCACCAAGCACTGCAAAAACTTGCCGTTGTTTTGGTGGTATAGTTCTAACTCTTCTTCAATAAATAGATTAATCTGTACTGGAAATTATAACCTCTAAAACTATAGCTAATTCAGAAGCAGTTAACAGAAAAATGGAGCATATTAGTGGAGAACATCTATTCTCTAAGAACCTAATACCATGCATAAAAGATGATCAGACCCTGAGGGAGTCAGGTATACATACATTGATCATGATTTGCTGAATAGTAAAACATTTCTTACCCACTATCTCCTGTAATCCACAGTAACTGGCTGCCTATTTATAAATGTTCTAATTTTCTTATCTATTAGCCTGCTTCATGGCTAATACATACATAAACATAACCACATATAAGTCAAACTTTGATGAACAACATAGAATTTGCTGTACCAGCTCACATGACCAATCTATTGACTCTGATTTACTGATGTTTTCCAAACAGGCAAAAAAAAGCACATATAAACATCCCTTCCCGATCTTTCCTAAATTCAGACTACATCCTGAAGCATGAGACTGCACTCTCATCCGAGCAGATAGAACCACAATGTTCATAACATTCAACCTCCTTTAAAATCTAGTTTCACTATTCGACATCCCCAGGCAATGAGTTTTTACAAAAATACATGAAATACTTATTTTAGATAGTAAGAAAATAAAGTAACTTGATCAATTTCATAATTTCCCCAGTACTGTAGAGCAATAAAATAGGTTATAAAAGGGCAATAAGCAAAACTATGTCCTCTTTTTGAAGACAAAGAGCCCAAATAATTTTAGTTTCTGCTAAGCTACAGTATTTTTAACTGGAAAGTAACAGCAATATTTTTTGCTGAACTTAGTATTTGCCTAGTGAGTTCTTCCCAATTCTATTAAACGCACTTTCAATTTAAGTTTATCCTCAAACTGAAGTTTTACAAATAAGCTTTATTTAGATTTGAAACATTTCCATGACTAAAAAGAAACTTTCAGTAACACTTGCATTGAAGGGATAAACGCTTATCCCCTGATGCATCACATATCCAAGGCTTTACTCTACTGAAAGTTGAAAGCAAAACCGGTCTTCAACTGTTTTCCTTTTGTAAACATTAAATGATTCAAGTGAACTAACTTAATTTGAAAAGAGAAACAGAATCGTAATTTGTTAACAGTGAAACATGGGACTCGGTCCCTTCAGCTCAGTCCACACAGATGAGACTTTCCTGTTACAGGATGAGTTGAGAATAAGTACTGCCAAAGTCTATCCATCTAGTTACTCTTACCTCAATGATATACAAAACCACATTCTTGTAGAAGCAATAGAGTATACATTTAGTAACTCGGTTATAACTCCAAGCCCCGTGGACCAGCAACAGCTTCTCCAAGTAGGAAAACTGAAAGGGAAAAAAAGAAAACAAGTTTTTTATCGATGAAGAAATGTTTTTAAAAAAGTTAAAGTAAAAAAAAATACTCCAAGCCTCAGATCAGCTATGAAAGCCGTTCTTCAAAAGTAATAAATTGTTTAGCAGCACACAGATGCAAAGCCTGAACAGCAAAAGCCTTTTTCTGCAGCAATATTTTTGAATGTTTCTGTAAGGGGCCTTCACCAGCTTTAAATGGCAAGAAGTTTTCAATTATTATTATTATCCCGATAGCAAAATGAGGCAAGGCTAACATAATACAGCCTTCTGAATTAAATATAAATGAAAACATTTCATGTCCCAAAGAAGATTTCTGCGACTGAGGGCTTACTAAGCGCGACACAAGAAGCTCCTCTCTAATGACCAGACTGCTCATTTAATTCATAGAACTGTCTTGAGCTGAGATGAAGTGCCCAAGAAAGGGAACGCTCAAGTGACAAAAGGACACAAACAGCCTTTTACGACAAATGAACATTTATGTTAACATTTGCAGCCCAATAAATATGTAAGATGGTGCAAGTGTTATGCAAAGTACCTAAAAACTCTAAAGGAAAAAGGATCGCATGTCAAAACGGCCAAATAAGTCTTATAAAAATTGATACCGTATAATGCCAATTTGAACCAGACACACAGTTCAGTTTTACTTCTTTTCAGTTCAGTAGAGTTTTGCAAATGGATTCCATGGACTTTCACAGCAGCCATCTCACAGCGCAGCCTAGGAAATTCATCATTTTCTAGTCCTGGCTTTGTCAGTGAACCTCTTTACAGCCTACAGCATTCCTCTTTAGTCCAGTTGCAGACAGCTCAAACTGGGGACTAGATTTACTGTTTGGCATGGGCGTACCTGAAGGGTTCTTGGACGAGACTGTTATTTGCTTTGCTTCCATTTGCATGAAGGGACTTGATGGGAAAGCTCAACTTTCCAAATTTAGAATATAGCTTAGTTATTTTAACCAAATATTTTTCGAAACCCTGGAAGCTACAGTAATGAATTAGGACTGTCATGAGATAGCTCTGCTCCCATGATTTCCAACATTGAAAGCACTGAACCACAAATCCTGTAAGAACAGGCTTTCTGACATGCATCAGCAACTCGGATTTGTTGGGATACGCCAGCAAGAAAGAACAAGAGAAAATAAAAGTGAACCAAGCTTCATGGTCCAGCGTGCACCCAGCTTGAAGCAGCACTGAAAGCAGGATACTCACAAGGGTGCAGTTAACCTACCAGGCACCTAGTTCCTCATCTGTTAAGTGCACAGCATAGCTATGGCTCTCCTCAGCAAAATTTACTGACGCACACAGTGCTGGGGTGGGGAGCACCCTACCTCCATCCAGATGTCACCCCGACACCTCTTGTAGCTTACATACATCAGTTGGACACAGCCAAAGCAATGGCCTCTGCACTGAGTCTAAAGGGCCACTCTCCCACATGCAGATCCCTACACTGCAGACATCTGCAGTTTAGCAAGACAAATCCTACCATTAATTGCTCTTTATTCTATTTCCCTAGATAAAAAAGGTGACACTCCCTAGATACTAGATGCTCTCTGGATTAAGATGATAAAGCCTTTCACTAAGCAGCAAAAACAAAAGTTGTTCAAATCCACTGCTATCTCTCTAAGCAGTTCAATTTTTTGTTTTGGGAATTCTCTCAATATGGATCATTGGGGTAATAACATTTCAAGGGAAAAGGACAATTCAAACAGATGTTCCTTGTATTTGTGGAAGTTATTTAGAGTAGATTCAGATGCAAGTTTCCTTTTTATTTTTGTTTGGTTTATTCTTCGATTCCCACTGGAATCCTTAATGAGTCTATATAGAGACTTCCTTTTCTGTAAGTGCTTCCTTCTGGCACTGCTGCATTGGAAGTACCATTTGAACCCGAGATACTACATTGTAGTGGTCATTTTCAATTACTCAAGAACCTGCTCTGCCTTCAAGGCATGCATATACAGTAACGCTTTAGTGGGAGTTACACGTCCTCACTGAAAGAAATGGACACCATGCAGATCGAGGTTTTCTTTTGAATACTTTTTTTGAAACATACATGACCATACACTATTAGCCCCTTTACAAGAGGGACTCCTTTGTATCTTCTCTAAACAGCACAAAGCTATGCCTGTTAACCAGAGAGGAGGAAAAAAAAAAAAAAAAAAAAAAGCTGTTCCATGGTATTTACTCATTTTTCAAAGTTAGAACTCCACGCTAGTGTGGCCAGCTTTTACTTCATATTAAACTAATATTATCCCTTGCTATTATCAGTAACTCTCAGACAGGAATTTGAATCGAGAGCAACTTACTTCCCACGTTCTAACATTAAATCAAAACCCACCAGTTTTGTTAAATCAAGAGTACTGTATAAATGCAAAGTGACTTCACCAGGTTTAACGTTATTGAAACCAATGTCAGACAAATTAAATGTGTAGGGCTCTCTATGGACATAACTCTCACCGCTTACGTCTACTTATTAAAATGAAAGTTAACAAGTGATCTGAAGAAGTCTCTCAGTAAGGCATATTCCATCAAGTTACACAGCAGAGGCATATACAGTCCGTGGAAGCTAACAAGACAGACATTGTAAGATACTACAGAGTTTGTGATCATGGCAGTTCTTATAATGCTATATTTGGAATATACTACTGTTCAGGACAGAATAAGTCCTTGATGAAACAGCCTAAAATCTTCAGTACATATTTGGTGAAAGATCCGAGTTAATCAAGCCTGAAATGCAGTGTGCTTTGTCTGACCACAGAACACAGTAGAGCAGCCATGCAAGACTAGCACTTTGCTTCACAGCAGGGTTAACACAATGAGCAGTCACCTGTCCAAAGAACAGGAGTATTCACACCTTTTTAAAACCTCACCTTCCACAGAAACTACCAAAAAATGTATCAATTCATATCAATTGACATGGAAAATCTGCCTATAGCCTGGCATAATCAACTGACTGCTCGCTCACACATCGCAGGAACCAGTGGACCACATCTACTCCCTGTCATCTCTCATCTGTTCTTGCCCTGCGGTCACTCCAAGACACATGCATGGCACCTTAGCTGCAAATAGTATTCACAGAATTTCCAGCAGGTGAAGCATTCCTTTTATTTCTCAGGCTTCTTTTAATGTCTTTATTCTACATCTTTGTTTCATTAAAGAAACAAGGAGAGATGGCTCTTTTACTCTCTTTTCTAGCTGAAGTAATCACTACTGTATTTGATGGGATAATTAGGGAGCGCTCAGTCAAGTAACACTCAAAAATACATACTGGAATGAAAATATTGGCCAGCTCTTTAGAACTTTAACTAATTCTTGGATATCTGAAGGGAGAAAAGGAAGAGAACACCTCAAAATAAAATTTCCCAACAGTCAGATAAACTCTTACACACCTGTTTGAAATGCCTATTCATGGTAAGAGACAAGAGCATGAATAAATCATACTGAAAAGCACTTGCACATAAGCAAACGTGTCCCTCGCTGGCTGCTGAAAGGCTGAAACGTTCCACAACTCGAAGGAGGGAACCGAAGCTTTAAGGGAGGATGAGGCTTCTCCCCAAAGAATATAGACTCAAAACAAAGCATCCCAAATGCATTCAAGGTATCTGTTTTAGACAGTTGCCTCAAGAAGGAAAGGAACAGGGATGCTCCTAGCTTGTAGGCCACCATCATTGAGATACAACAGTCGCTCTTCTGTGCCTCTGACCTGTGCAATAGCATAATCTGAGCAATTGGTTGCCTGCATGCCCTCATTCCCGCTGATCCCAACGCCGACATGAGCCGTCTGGATCATTCCCACGTCGTTGGCACCATCCCCAATGGCAAGTGTTATGGCATTGACATGTTTCTTGACCATGTCTACGATTTCAGACTTCTGTAGAGGAGACACTCTGGAGAGGAAAGAGAAATGTATCATTGTCTTATGTGCCGAGTCACACACGTGCTTTTTCCAGAGGGACAGTTACAATCTAGATTTAGAAATATTAAAAGGGCAGTTACTGGAAAGTTTCTTTATCCCACAACTAAGCTTCCAAACCTGTATCAAACCATTTCAGAAAGAAAGCAGCTTTAAAAAGAATTCTGCATTTTCATACAGTATGAGCAAATAATGATAAAAGAGAACACCAAATAGATGTGAAAGGTTTTAAAAGTTTCCCCTCCTGCGTGATACACTTCGGCATACATCAGTGATATTATATTGAGAATACTGGAAAATGGAGCTTTCTCTTCAACCACAGCAATTTACAGATTAACAGCGCAGGCGTCCCTGTCTGCTGTTACAATGCATCTCCATCCAGAAGGACCTTCCTTCTGCAATAGGTTCAGAAAATAATTCAGTTTGAGGAATTTCTGATTTTCAGTGGCTTGGTGAAGATGTTGCAGGCTTACCTTCTTCCCTCCTTAGGTTTACTTCCCGTCCTGCAGCCCCATCTTTCCACCCTCACACCAGCCTGGGATCACATGCCCAGTTGAGATCAGAAGCAACATTCCTTCTCCCTCAGCTCCCATTCTCGCTACAGGCTGCTGTAACACCACCTATCCCCTCAGTGATGTTATTTGATTCCTGATCCAAAACAAAGACTAGGACCCCATAACATCTAAATACTCTTATTTTTTTTGGTAGATACTTTAACCTGATCTTTCTCTCATTTTACACCAGTTGCAGTTTGACATAAATTCATGACATTCAATAGAGTTGCAGTGGTCTACACCAAGGAGAAGTGGAAAAATATTCAGTACTAGGTAACTAAATTGGATGAGACACCTAAAATGCCTTTTATTCATAAAAAAGGTGGATCACATTACCAAATCACATGAGGTATTCTGGAAATACCCACATGTAGATTAAATATTTCCATTCTAAGTCCATCTGTACAAACAACTTTAACTCCTTTCCCCATCAATTTTAGTCAACGCTCCAAATTATTTTATATTCCCTTAAACAGAGCTTTAGAGAAAACTTTTCCACATCTCAATTCAGCCACATACACTCAACATTAAAAAAAAAATACCACACACACCACACACAACTGATGTGTGCTTTATTGCTAAAACAGAGAGAAAGTTGGGAGGAGACGAGGGGGGAGAGAGAGAGATTTTTTTTACATAACATTTTTCAGAGTCCACATCCCGCAGGAGCAACTTTCAAAGCTTTTTAATACACCTGGCCAGTTTATCGCTGACCAAAAAATAGCTGGGCTGTCTTGCTCAGCCTTTTACTTTACAGCCGTGGTCTTGTTCATGCTGACCACCTCTTAAGACCAGACTTGAGAAGCAGTTAGGGGAAAAAGGTTCCTAAGAAAAAATTCCTGGGCTTAAAATTCACGTGTGAACTAAAAAAACCTAGCAACTGTCCTGTTCCTAAAAGCTGAAAACAGATGAAAAAGTTGAGTAGGTCATAAAATGTACTTAATACCATTAGATAGATTTATTAAGCACTGCCTGGCAATGAAAACAGCACTTTGCACTGTAGGAGGCCAGCCTCACTACCAATGTGAAAAGCCAACATACTAACCAACCCATCATGCATGAAAGGTGTCAGTTTATAATCATAAAGCAGTTCTGAATATAGCCTGCATCTCATTCTATCCTCTTTCATACATACAGGTGCGTATGTGTAGACAAATATATACACACACAAATATATATCTACATACACATACATATGTACACATACACCCTAAACATACACTAACTTCACATGATAAAATACTAAATAATGGAGTACAGAATCAACACGGACTTTTAACATAAGACACAAACTCCAGAGAGACTTTGAGCTTCTTCTGGTGGGATGGGACCCATGACCATGCAGCCCCCCGTTACCAGCCTCAGGGACCCCTCCAGTGCACAGGGGCACAAACCTTCGTAGCACACCTCAGGCAGTTTTTTCCTGGCAGCTGAACATCATGTAGACCTGCTGACTTTGTCTTCAAACAAAACAATCTCTCAAAGTCCAGACCTGTCAAACCAATCGGATGCCATAATACAAACAGAAATGTCTGAAATAATACATAATGTGCGCATAGTATGCTTTTACTGCCCTGGCCAGATAAAGTTGTCAAAAAAATAACACTCTTAGCTGAGGTCTTTACATCCCTAATCAAAAAGACCACAGAAATCACAGAAAAACTAGATGTATGATTTAAACACTAAATTTTTGTGCATTTGATCTAATGAGATGAAAACTAAAATTAGATTTCAGCATGAAATGTTGCTTCATTACAGATATTTATTATAGAAGGAAGTTTTATAGCAAGCATCCTCTTCATTCCCCTCCTCCCTTCCACAAGGCTCATTCTCAAACTCTGAAGAACACATTTTGCTGTGCACAGTACATTAGCTGGAAAACTTGCAACTTGAAAAGGCTACTGATTTCCTGAGGGGTTTTACAAACCTCCCCTCGCCCCAGCTTCCAAACCTCTTCCACTCCTTGTAATCTACTTGGTACCAATACACTGCACTAGATGACATTAATCCCCTTAGCAAGCTGATCAGAGCCGTGGTTCGTTTTCACGCATTTGATAGGCTGTCTACATGAATAACCAGAAGATTACAGCACAGGACACCATTAACCAGAAGCTTCCCCCAGGTGATATCTTGGAAGGGGAGGTGGAATAGTCAAGTTCACAAAGATGCTTGGACAAATGAGCAGTTCAAAGTAAAAAGCACTGGGACGGAACAAACTACTTTGGAGAAATATTTTGCAGTGGCGTGCAACTATTGGTAATTACCACCTGGTGGAATATCCCTGCTTTCACTGCAGAGCTCAGCGCGGCAATATCAGGATGCAAGCTTTGCCTTGATATGCACCCAAGTATGAATTACGAAGTGAGCAAGATGCCAGTTTCATCAAAATTCGCCACTTGCTCACGTGTTCGCTAACTCATCAGACTGCAGTGCAGCTTACAAAGGTTCTTTGAGGGCAGCTCAAAAGGGGTCACTGGAAATGTTTAAACATAAGTTATCTCTATGTCTGTCTACACTCAGGAATATTTTTGAAAAGAGACAATCAAGTTATTCCAGACTGATTCTCTCTTCCAAGCATACTACAGGCAAAAAGAAGTCAGGTTTCAGATAACACCATTACAGGTACAGGATCAAGTCTTCATATTCCTGCTCAAACTGTTTCCCTGGGGATCCGGATTTAGGCTATTTAAGCTGCCGAGTGCCTAGAACCTTTAGAAAGTTTTTCTCATTCACTATTTGGCAGTACAATGTAAACGCAATATAAAAAGTTCAGGCACAACAGAGGGGCTGCATAATGTTCAGTGTCAGTCATACAGCAGACCTACTTACCCATCTCTGGGAGCTTCTCTGTGCAGCCTCGCTCTTGGGACAGCAAAAACTGACACTGAAAAATGGAAGGGTCTCTTCAGTCTCAAACTTGCTCAGTCTCTTGCTATCAGTATCTTCACCAGATTAATGCAGAAAGCAGCTTCCATTCTGTACAAGACCACCAGTGCCTCAGTACCACATTATTCCCTCTCTCACTGAACGGGAGGGTGCAAGCAACCAAGAAAGGAGACGAAACATTGTCTTGGGAGGAAGTCGGCAGAGAAACACAGCCTGGGGCCAGGGATACTCAGAAAGACAAGGACACCATAAACTGTTATAAAGTCATTCAAATCCATGAAGGAACAGTGTAGATGTAGGTAGGTTTCAGGTAACACACACTACTAGATTTTTCCTGTTAGCAAGTGCTTTGTTAACACCCATCTTCTGCTTGGAGGAAGCTTATGAAAAAGCAGCTCAGGATACGGTACGCAATAAAACAGCCAATTTCTACTGAGGATGCTATAAGTAGCTTCCCATTGACTTCTGCAAATTAGCTCCTAACAGCTTTAAACCTTCAGTTCACCGTTCTTTCTTCAATCTCTGAACAAATGCTCATGGGGAAACACCTTAGCTGATGTTTTGCCTATTCAGAAAAAAATTCTACTTGATGTGTTGCTGGAAGGCTTGCTAGTGGTTTTTTTTTTTTTTTAAATATTTCTTTGAAAATAAAATTCAGGCACAGGTAAAGGTACCTGGAGTACTTTTAGGACAAACAAAACAATTCACAGATTCACCTCAGTTCTGTTACCTTTCATTGAGAAACTTTCACTGAAGAAGTGGTGACATTTTCAAAACTAAGAATTTGAAATACTTTGCTTAGAAACCCATCTCAGTTTTAAAAAAAGACTAACAATGTTTTTAAAGTCTTGAAAAGAAAGCAACATATCTCAAAATATTCATTCGAAACCAAACAAGACAACTGAACATAGAGCTTTAACTTCAACTTTTAATGTATTGCAATGGATTTAAATTAGTCAACTCTTTTACTGCATTTTTTCCAATGTGGCAAGGCAGCGCTTTCTTATTCTCAAACATCACCAAGCTGTTCCAGGATGGAGGCAGTCACAAATGTGATGGGAAAGACACAGTCACAATCAATCCTGCATCACATCGGTCAACTGCTCACTCTGCAAGATAGTGTTAATGGGATATGTGAAGATTAGAGTTTCTTAATCCTGTCCCTACATACAGCTGTACTTAATGGACGCTTACAGACACATATGAAAGCAATTGTTGGGAACTGTAGACAGTACTTCTCATGTGGGTCCTAAACCTACAGCTGCATCATATTGGATGCTTCCAAGTGTACAGACATAAGCCATAGATATGAAATAAAAGGCAATATTTCAGAAAATGATTAGTTTTATCTATTGCATTCAAGTCTAAAGGACCCAATAACAATTGGGTCATACAAGGGCAGATCCTATCAAACGTATCTAAAAAAAGACTTGAATAAAGAACAAGATAAGCAAATTTTATTGAAGCCCTTTTATCTATAGGGTAGCAAGGCAGAGAAAGATTAGGTGTTTTACAAAAGATCAATTTATATTGA